TCTTCACTTTCAGCAAGCAAGGTTGTGTCATCTGCATAACGCAGGTTGTTAATGAGTCTTCCTCCATTCCCATTGCCCCATTCTTCTTCATATACTCCAGCTTCTCAGATTATTTGCTCAGCATACAGATTGAGTAAGTATGGTGAAAGGATACAACCCTGATGCACACCTTTCCTGACTTTAAGCCACTCTGTATCCCTTGTTCTGTTAGAACGACTGCCTCTTGGTCTATGTACAGGTTCCTCACGAGCACAATGAAGTGTTCTGGAATTCCCATTCTTCTCAATGTTATCCATAACTTGTTAATGATCCACACAGTCAAATGCCTTTGCATAGTTAATAAAACACAGGTAAAGATCTTTCTGGTATTCTCTGCTTTCAGCCAGGATCCATCTGACATCAGCAATGCTATCCCTTGTTCCACATACTCTTCTGAATCCAGCTTGAATTTCTGGCAGTTCCCTGTCAATGTGCTGATGCAACTACTTTTGAATGATCTTCAGCCAAATTTTACTTGCATGTGATATTAATGATATTGTTTGATAATTTCCACATTCTGTTGGATCACTTTTCTCTGGAATAGGCATCAATATGGATCTCTTCCAGTCGGTTGGCCAGGTAACTGTCTTCCCAATTTCTTGGCCTAGACGAGTGAGCATTTCCAGTGCTGCATGTGTTTTTTTGAAACATCAGATTGGTATTCTGTCAATTCCTTGAGCCTTGTTTTTCACCAAGGTCTTCAGTGTAGTTTGTACTTCTTCCTTCAGTACCATCAGTTCTTGATCATATGCTACGTCCTGAAATGGTTGAACGTTGATCAACTTAAATATTGCACTAAAATGTTATTTATCTTGCATTAAAATATTGTTCAACTTGATTACTGACTTTTCTGGTACCTCTCTAATTTTGCACGTGAGGTGAGAGCCTTCACAGGCCTCCCCCCTCTTCCTAGCCCTGAAAGAGGAGATGAAGAGCTGGAGGAGAGAAGGGATAGGAAGCCTGGGGGAGCCCCCAAGGTCATTGGACTGATGTCATTGACCTGGGTGTGCTTCCTTCATGGAGATTTGCCCTCCACCTTCTATCCATCACCCATCTGCCTCCCCACCTGCTCACACACCAATCGTTCCACAAGCTTCTACTTTGGTACTCTGGGCCTCACCTGTGTTGAGCCCAAAGGAGACATGAACTGTGTCAAAGGAGCTCCCTGTGCAGGAGGACTGAGGACAAGGGGTCCCACAGAGCCCTCCCCAAGGTGAAGGCCTGGGTGATGGGAGGAGAGACATCACTGTGCTGACAGAAATGGGGAGATTTGCCCCAACTGCAGTGAAAGGATTTTCACATAGGAACTGGGAACCAGTCAGACCACTACAACAGTGCAGAGATGTGTGATGGGGTGTCACAGGTGAGGTGAGAAGTAGCTATGGGGCATCCCTGGACCAAGTGCAGCTGATGAAGCAAGTGTGGGGACCAGGGCCCTTGCAGGAACCTCCCAGCTGTGAGTGGGGTCCTGCCAGGTCCAGACTCAGCCTGAAGTGACCAGAAGGAGCATCCACACCTGGACCAGAGCCAACAGAGACTCAGCTTCCTAAGCTAGAGGTTGTCCCAGCAGGGGCCAAGGAGGAATGTCTCCCAGCTTCAGGGTCTCTCCATCTGGCCCATCCCTGTTCCTCCTCAAATGCTGTTGATCCCTGACTTCACCACCCTGTGAGCTCTGCCCTGGTCTGGGCTGCCTCCCTCCTCTCTACCTGCCTCAGGCTCTCTCTTCTGCCAAGGTGAAGCCCAGGCAACAGAGATTTGGGAAACTGTGTCTTGTGAACACAGAATATTAACCATTGCAGGCCCTTCTTGCCTTTCTTTGCTCTCTTGGAGGCAGTCGGTAGGGTTATGATGGGTCTTAGGAAGGTGTGCAGAGAACCACCTTTTGTCAGTTGCAATCCTGATACCATCAATTGTGGACGCATCGCTAGGGGAGGGTGTGAAACCCAGACTGTGGGGTGACTCTGTGCCTGGGACATCGTGATTTGTTGCTGATGTGTGTCTGGAAGCCAATCACAGAGCGTCGTCTACAGCAGATCCCATCTCCAGCCAACTCCAAGACAGACCTGCAGGAGCCAAAGGAAAGAGAAAATTTGTGGGACACTCATGTACATAGAGAACCGTCTACCCACAAGTATCTATGTACTGGGAGGGTCGTGCCTGCCTGAAGTAGGCTGGTATAGTCACCTGGTTGTTCAGGAAGCCCCTGCCTCCCTCCAGCAGGACCCAGGAATTGTCATCCAGGAGCTCCACCTCATAGCACAGATAGGTCTGTTTCTGGCCACAGACTAAAGAGTTATTATTAAAGTTGAACTGAAATATGTCTTGATGCATCAGGTCTCTGGGACACAGACTGGAGAAAATTATAATTCAGAGGGCTTTTCCTGGACACCCCCCGGGCTCCCTCCCCTTCACCCCTATCCCAGCCGAACCTGCAGAGATGGAGTTTCTGCTTACTGTGCTGGAGGACATCAAGCCCCCCTCTGACCCATTCTGGGTGGCTCATGGGGAAGTAAGCCCAGTCCTTGCAGCTGTTTGGCTTTATCAGGGCTCCCCAGGAGTCAGCGTAGGTGCCCAGATACTCTGCCGCGACCCCTGCCCTGGAGTGGGTTGGATCACCTTCCCTGGGCTCACATCACACCCTGTCCTGGTGTGGTTCAGTGAATTACTTAATATGGCCCTTCTAGCCATAGTCTTTGTAACTGTCACCAAATGACTGGGTAGGACTATGCAAATGAGGTGCTCATGGCCCACCAAGGTGATTGGATTGCTTGCTAATAATGTAAATAAGGTGCATGGCAGTCTTGTGGGGGTGGGATCATGCAAATAAGGTGTACAGAATGCTAATGAGGGAATGGTCAGTTTTGTCATCCCACTAGGATAAAGAAAGCCAATTCCAGAGTAGAGGGGGGAACCTCATGACAACCAAGAAGAAGAGACAGGAGCAGAGAGCGTCCTTTGGACCTGGGATCCCTGCACTGAGAACCTCCTTGACCAATGAGACAGAGAGAGAGCTGTTACACTGGAGATGGCAAGAAGCAACAGCAGAAAAATGACAACAGCAGAGGCAGGAGACCTGCAGGAGATGGTGCAGTAGGCTTCCTGGTTCATGGAGTGAGAAAGCAGTATACCTTTGGGCAGGAGGCTTGCTAGCAGAGTAGGTGCCTCTGGGCACTTGGTAGAGCTAGATCTGCCTATCCATGGAGCTAGAGCTGAGAACCTTCCAGCTGAGGCTCACTGGCAGAGTGGGGTGTCTCTGGGAACTTATTGGCAGAGCTAAAAGAGCTTTTTAACAGTTACCAGAGCAAAGCAGAAGCCAGGCCAAGGGGCCAAGGCCAGAGATTTGCCTGTGGCATGGCTGAGAAGAGGCTGCCCCTATCGAAGAACTGTATCCTGAGCATTCCTGAACCTGAATTGTAACATGTTACTTCCCTAATAAATCCCATTACCGTGAGTATGGTCTGTGAGATCTGTGCAGCCGTTGCAATGAATTATCAAACCCAGTGGAGAAGTAGAGAATGCCATGGGAGGAAAGGTTGGTGTCAGATTTGGTAAAAAGGGTGGAGAGAGGAAGTATATCTGATCTCTGCATCATAGGAATTGGCCTTGGGTGGTTGATGCTGATAATGATTCTCCTTCCCCCTTGCAGTGTTACAGGAGGTCAGATACCTGCGCCATGCAATTTTTACAGTTGGCATCAGAAGCAGTATTTATTGTAATGGCTTTAGACTCATGGAAGCACGAGACTTTGTAAGAGAGAGAATGAACAGGCGTGGGAAGTGAAACTTCTGATTCTTAGATGGTTACTTTGGTAGTTATCTGTAATGGATGAAAGGAAAGTGAGAGATGTTATGCTACAGCTGAGGGGAGAAAAGCTGTATCTGGAGTAGCTAGGGCAAAGGGCTAGGCCAGTTAAACGCGATGATTGTTAGAGGGCCAAGGTCTTTTGATTCCACCCAGCCAGAGGCTGAGGCCAAATGTGTATGAATGGGCAGATAGTGAAGGGATAGAGAAGATGAAATTGGAATGTTTTTAAAAGGGTTATGTGTTTATTTGAATGTACTATAGATACCGAGTGTTTCTCCTACCTAGTGTTGTAAAACAGACCTACATGCATTATAGATAATAGAGAGTATGTAACTCTGCCTTCAGCCAATACTTGTCTGGATATACTAAAAGGGGATCTAGGATTTGTTCGAAAGAAACACAGGCTGTTGGCTTGAATACAGTAGCCCTGTGTATAGAATATCGGGGTTTAGGTCGAAAACCTGAGCCCTACCCAAACTTTCAGAGCTAGGAAATTTGCATTTGACCTACCCAGAACTGCTGAGAAAACAGGAGATTTGCATTTCAAAGAAGGACATGGTGGGGGCGGGGGGGAATGACGATTTTGTTTTTTAAATTTTGAGCAAGCAGTTTGCCTTAGGGTACATCAAGCCAGGAAAAGTCAGTACCCATCAGAAGAACCCCCTTCCAGGACTGCAAGTTAAAGGAAGGCAGGGAGTAGACAGCCTGGTATGCTCACTGTGGTGACCACCTGGGTCCTCTTGATGAGTGGAAGTAGGGGAGGTGCAGCAATGAAGAGACAGGCTGAGTTTAGACATCTCCTATTGGCACCTGTTGACCTAGCCCACAGGGGCTAGGAAAGAGAGAGACAGAGAGACAGAGAAAAAGGGCTGGCTGGTCTGAAATGCAGGCAGTTGTATGGACTCCTGAGCCTACAGGTGGTGCCTGCTGACTTAGCCCATGTGGGCTAGGGATGACAGAGAGAGAGAACATACTGGCTGGTCTGAAAAGTGCTGGAGATGTGTGGATTCCCAAGCCTATGGCTGGTACTCATTGACTTAGCTTGGATGGCTGCAGATGAGCTGACTAGAACCTGACCGATGATGATGTTTAACACCATGAGCTGGTGTAAATTGCTGCAATTTGATGGCTTGCTCTGGCCTGGACTTTGCTTCTGTATGCAGATGCTCAAAGTTCCAACCAGAACAGAAGATTCTTTGGATCAAAGAACACGCTTGTCTCCTCAGAGTACTGGTTTGATAGGGACAGGAAATTAAACATTTGCTGTCTAAAATGGGGGGAGATAAAGGCATGAAGTCTCTGGCTTACACACTTTCATGGGTGTGCCTAGACTCAAAATAAGGGGGACAAGGGGAGATTTCTACTGAATAGATTCCTCTTTTCCTGATGGGTCTGGGGAAGAGAGCGTGGAGGAAGATGCTGATACAATTATGATTCAGCTGTGAATAATGATTGTTAACAGGGTTAATTGTGATCTTAAAAACTGCAATTGTAACTTCTCTGACTGAAATTACAACAGAGGGTCCAGGACAGAGTGGGAGAAAATTTGTAGAACAAAAAATCAAATTCACGAATAAGTCTAGATTTACTGGTCTGGCAGAGACTGGAGGGAACCCCTGAGACTATGGCCCTAAGACACCCTTCTGAACTGGAAGTGAAGCCATTCCCGGAGACCACCTTTCAGCCAAACCATAGACAGACCCCTAAAATAAACAATAATACCTAAGGGGAACATACTCTTTAGAACAATCAATTATGCAAGATCAAAAGGGCAACATTTGCCCAAAAGCATATGTGAGAAGGCACAGAAAATCAGGACAAAAGGAAAAGGGGAGAGTGGTGACACGTTGTGGGGAGTGAAACCAATGTCATGGAACATGTTATGTACAAACTATTGAATGGGGAACTCGTTTGCTTTATAAACTTTCACCTCACACACAATAAAACTTTTTAAAAAAATCTATAATTGTAGAGGCCATAAGTGTGAAAGAGTGGACTAAGGGGGAGGCACTGCTGGAGTGGAGTATAGGGGCTGAACCTATAGCCCCTTAAAGGTTTTGTTATTTTGATACCTCACGAGGCTCAGAGCAAGGGAATAATTTTCTCTCATGGTTAAATTTTATCAGACACCAGAAAGGGTGAAGGCGAGATGACTTTTGGAGAACCTGACCAGATCCGATGGATATCTGCAGCAGACCTGAATGTCTGGTACCGGAGTGCCCTCACCCTGAGGACTCTTTGCCCTACGGAAAGACTAATTGTTCATGACTGTTTTGAACTGGTAAAATGATTGGGAGAGGGAAGTTAATCCTTCAAGTATGAAAGGGCCAATGGCTAGAAGAGCCAGAGGACGGCCTGCAGTGCAGTGAATTACTTTAATATGGCCCTTCTAGCCATAGTCTTTATAAATCCCACCAGATGACTGGGTGGGGCTATGCAGATGTGGTGTTTGTGGCCCACCAAGGGGATTAGATAGCTTGCTAGTAATGTAAATAAGGCGCATGGCACCCTTCTGGGGATGGGATCATGTAAATAAGGTGTATGGAACCCTAATGAGGGGCCTGGACAGGAGGAGGGAGAAGGAGAGGGACTTGGAGAGAAGGGCTGGAAGGGAGGGTGCTGGACGCCCCCGAAGGGAGCAGGGGACAGAGGAGGCTCTGAGCAGAGGGGAAGGAGGGGCACAGAGAGAGAAGGAGAGGAGAGAGGGGTGAAAAGAGGACCAGGGGAGGGAGGGAGCTCTCACCTGGAGAATACTCTGCAGTCTCGTTGATATAATTTGACTGTTTTCATTCAGTCTATCCCAGGGCTCAAAGGACCTAACCTGGTTGTCCACAAAGGTTCTCCAGCAGTGCTTAAACTTTGAGGCGGAGAGGGAGATAAAGTCGCCCCCAGGCTCAGGGGGCAACAAAGGTGCATGACTCCTAGGAACAGACTTTCTGCATCACCAATCCGTCTTCACCCTCCCCCTCCCCGCCCCAGGAACTGAGCTTCTCCCTCAAACTCTTTCTTCAAGTTGGAATCTGACCCAGCCAGAACCTCCATCAGGGAGTCTAAATCCTGCCCACTCCTTCTAGCAACCTCCCACAGCCTTCTCCCTGCCTACCACCTCCAATCTTCCGTGGGTTCCCCTCTGACCCGTGGGAGTCATGATGGCGATTTTGGCCCCAGCATGCCACAGTGAGAGCAGCTGCTCCTCATATCCTCCGCTGTAGTCATAGATGCTGGCAGCAAAGATGTGCAGGTGCACATGGCTGTTCTTCCCCAGGAAGGCAGTCACTTCCCGGGCACAGTCAGGGCAGGGGCTCCTGGACATGAACCAGGTGACCCTGTGGCACTGTGCTGGGTCCAGCTGCCAAGAAGGAACCTGTCACAGGAAATAGAACTCTGCATGGCAGGCGTGGCAGGAGATGGAGAAAAAACCAAGGCTAGGAAAGAAAAAAAAGTATTAGGTGTCTTGTTGTGAACAGGGAGCAAGGGTCAAGATTAGAGTGGGGCAAGTAAGCACAAAATTAAGGGGGCATCAAAACAACAGCAATCAGGGTAAGTAACACTTTAATACGGTATTGAGAAGACAAATTGTATCAGTGGCTTTTTATTTAACCTCGGCTCAATATGGCTCAGCACAGCACTGTTTCTGATCTGTGTGTATTTAAAATGTTGATATTTGGTTCATCACGGGAATTTTACATTAATTTTGATTACTTAAATATTGCATTAAAATATGATTTATCTTGCAATAATACACTGTTCTTCTTGATTCCTGACTTTTCTGGGTCCCCTCTAATCCCACTTAAAGCAAGTGCCTTCTCAGGCCTCCCCCTCATCCTGGCCCTGCAGGGAAGAAATGTAGAGCTGGAGGAGGGAGGAGGGGGGAAGCCAGGTGAGCCCCAGGGTCACTGGGCTGATGCCCTTGACCTGGCTGAGCTTCCTTCACAGGGGGACTTACCCCTCCACATGTCTATCCCCCACCCACCTGCCTCCGCCCCTGCTCACACACCAATCATTCCACAAACCTCTACTCTGGGCCTCACCTGTGCTGAACCCAACGGTGATATGAACTCTGTCAAAAGAGCTCCCTGTGCAGGAGGACTGAGGACAAGGGGCCCCGCAGGACCTCTCCAAGTTGGAGCCTGGGTGATGGGAGCAGAGTCATTCTGTGCTGATAGTAATTTGTGTATTTTCCCCACATACAGTGAAAGGATTTTCACACAGGGACTGGGACCCAGTTAGGCCATTATGATAGAGCAGAGATGACGGAGGAGTGTGACAGGGTGTCACAGTGAGTGTAAAGTGGCCGTGAGGTGTCCCTGGACCAAGTGCAGCTGATGAGGCAAGTATGAGAACTAGCACCCTTGCAAGAACCCCCCCATCAGTGGGTGGGGTCCTGCCAGGCCCAGACTCAGCCTGAAGTGACCAGAAGGAGCATTCACACCTGAACCCATAGCCAACAGACACACAGCCTCCTGACCAAAGGACATCCTGGGCAGGGGCTAAAGAAGAATGTCCCTCAACCATTGGGTCCCTCCATCTGCCCCATCCCTGCTCCTCCCCAAATGTTGTTGACCTCTGACCCTACCACACTGTGAGCTCTGCCCTGGTCAAGGCTGCCTCCCTCCCTCTCACCTGTCTCAGGCTCTCTCTTCTGCCAAGATCAAGTCCAGTAAACAGACATTTGGGAACCTGTGCTTTGTGAACACAGATTATTAACCATTGCAGGCCCTTCTTCCCCCCATTTCAATGTTGTGAAGATGCTCTTTGCTCTCCACCTGGGGGCAGCAGGTAGGGTTATGGTACATCTGGGCAGGTGTCCAGAGAACCACCTTTTGTTTACTGCAGGACAGATGCCATCCATCCTGGGAGCATCCTGAGGGCAGTGAGGTGAAACCTGGAGTATGGCATGACTCTGGACCTGGGACGTCAAGACTTATTGCTACAGTGTGGCCTCAAGCCAATCACAGCAATCTCCACCCAACTCCAGGACAGACCCACAGGTGTACAGGGTCCAAAGGTGAGTGAACCTCTGTGGGAGGTGTGCAGGGAACCTTCTACCCATCACTGTCGCTGGATCCGGAGGGCCTGCCTGCCTGCGGTCGGGCTGGGACAGTCACCTGTTTGGGCAGGAAGCCCTTGCTCTTGTACAGCAGGACCCAGGAGTTGCCATCCAGGAGCTCCACCTCGTAGCACAGGTATGTCCTGTACTGCTCACGGGCCCTCGGGTCATTTGAAAAGTAACACAGGAATATGCCTGTGTCCATCAGGTCTCTTGGACAAAGGCAGTAGAAAACCACGATTGAGAGGGCTTCTGCTGAGTCCCCTGCGCTCTGTCCCTTCCACCACCATCCCGGTTGGACCTGCAGAGAAAGGGCTTCTCCTCAGTGGGTTAGAGGCTACCAAGTCCTCCTCTATCCCTTCTGGGAGCCCATGGGAAAGTCAGCCCCGTCTTTGGGGTTCCTTGGACTTCTTGGGGTCCCCCCAGGAATCTGTGCAGGTGCTTAGACACTCCAATGAGGCCTTCACACCAGGGTGGGTTGGTCACCTTCCCTGGGCTTACTCCTACCTGTTCTGGTTTTGGTGACCCATGTCCCTGCTTGACACAGTTCAAATGGGGGCTCTTTGCTTTTGGTTGCATCCAGCATAAGGGTGGAGGATAAGCAAGAGAGGGTGGCTGAGAGGATCCAGAGCAGGGGGACAGAGACTGAAGGGGGGCCAACACCATGGTGTTTGTACCCCAGAGAGTTTTTCTCCCCCAGAGAGTTTTCAAATAACTTAAACGATATCTTCCTAATTGTGAAAATAATACCTTATGAAAAAAAATCATAAAGCTAAAAATAAAATGCTCTCTTGGCCCCAGCTCCAAGGCTTTTCCAAAACAGAAATGCCTGGGCTCCCTCGAGGACTGGAGAGCAGAGGAGGGAGGGGGCCCTGAAGATGACTTCACAGGGTCCAGCCCAGGAGCTGGGGTCGGATTAGAGACCATGATGTGACATCAGCAGGGAGGCCATGGCTGGGCCAGGACAGGTCAGTGAGAGAGTGAGGAGAGGACAATCTCCAGGAGCCAGAGCGGGAACCCTCGAGGGGCGGGGGTGCTTCCCCAACAGGGAAGTCCCGGAGAGGGAGGCCTGGGAGCAGAGGGACCAGTAGGGTGGGTGCCTGGGCCTCAGGGCTGCACTTCCCTCCACATCTTCAGCTTCTTCTCCAATTCTGGAGCCTGGGTCCTCCTGCTTCTCCTCCCACTCACCCTGTGCGGTCTTCCTCCTCGAAGTGCACTCCAAGGATCCAGGAGCCCGTACTGTGTCATGGTGACCCATGAACAGCTGAGCAGGAGAAACCGGGCCCCACCCTTAACCACTGGGACCCACCAGAACAGTGACCTTTGTTCTTTTAGACTACACTGGGTTCACACCTGCTACACGAAGGGACCTTATGACAACACCCACCACCTGTGGTTTCCCAGGTTCTGCTCCCAACCCTAAGATTAACCTCTGACACCTGAGCTCTGCAGACAGGGCATTAGGGGACTATGTCTACCCCTGGAGGAGACCCCACAGGACAGGCTCTGAGCTGCCAGAGGGCTCCTCCAGGCAGGACCTCCTTGTGTCTTCTGGACCCCCAGCCCTGGGCTGTAACTTGACCATGGCTGGATGCTAGGAGCAAAGTGAGCTGACTGGGAGAATGTTTGTGTGTGGGGGGGGTGGTGGTAAGTGCCTACTGTGTGCCTGGCCTTTGACGCAAGTTCCCGATGTCATCATCAATGGAACCTTAAGACTGAGGCTTCTCTCAGGCATGGTGCAGAGGAGAAAACAAAGTGAAAGCCCTTGTCATTACTAGACTTACTAATTGTTTTCACCCAATGGATAGAAACCTTCAGCAGATGTTTCACCGAGGTTTCCATTTTTATTTCCCCAATTTCTGGTTAGTTTGAGCATCTTTTCATTGGTTTCTGGCCCTACCTTTTTACTAATTTTAAAATTGTCTGTTTACATCTTTTGCCCATTTTACTATTAGGTTGTTGGTCTTTTTCTTATTGATCTACAGAACTTTTAAAAATACATTTTATATATCCTGGATAGGAGTCCTTTGTAAGTTATATACATAGCAAATATTTTCTTCCAGTTTGTGGCCTGTCTCATTATTTATGGTGTCTTAATGTGCATAGGTGTTTGAAATTTTAATGTATTCAGTTATAAAATCTTTCCCTTTGTGTAGTGGTGTGACGTGTTGTTTTTGTTGTCAGATGCCCTGGAGTCATTTTTCAACTCATAGCAACCCATGTGACAGAATAGAACTGTCCCATAAGGTTTCCTAGGCTGTAATCTTTACAGGAGCAGATCGCCAGGTCTTTTTTCCCACGGAGCAGTTGCTGGATTCAAACGACCAACATTTTAGCTAGTAGCCAAGTGCTTCACCTTTGTACCACTGGGGCTCCTCACGTATATATATATGTTGTTGTTGTTACGTGCCATCGAGTTGGTTCTGACTGACAGCAACCCTATGCGCAACAGAACGAAACACTGCCTGGTCCTGCACCATCCTCACAATCCTTGTTCTGTTTAAGCCATTGTTGCAGCCACTGTGTCGATCCATCTTGTGGAGGGTCTTCCTCTCTTTCGCCAACCCTCTACTTCACCAAGCATGATGTCCTTCTCCAGGGACTGATCCCTCCTGATAACATGTCCAAAGTACGTGAGACATAGTGTCACCATCCTTACTTCCAAGGAGCATTCTGGCTGTACTTCTTCCAAGACAGATTTGTTCGTTCTCTTGGCAGTCCATGGAATATTCAATATTCTCTGCCAACACCACAATTCAAAGACATCAATTCTGCTTCAGTCTTCCTTATTCATCGTCCAGCTCTCGCATGCATATGAAGCGACTGAAAACACTGTGGCTTGGGTCAGGGGCACCCTAGTCTTCAGAGTGACATCTTTGCTTTTCAACACTTGAAAGAAGTCATTTGCAGCAGATTTGCCCAATGCAATGCATTGTTTGATTTCTTAACTGCTGCTTCCATGAGTGTTGATTGTGGATCCAAGTAAAATGAAATCCTTGACTACTTCAATCTTTTCTCCAATTATCATGATGTTGCTTATCGGTCCAGTTGTAAGGATTTGTGTTTTCTTTATGTTGAGGTGTAATCCATACTGAAGGCTGTAGTCTTTGATCTTCATCAGAAAGTGCTTCAAGTCCCCTTCACTTTCAGCAAGCAAGGTTGTGTCATCTGCATAGCACAGGTTGTTAATGAGTCTTCCTCCAATTCTGATGCCACTTTCTTCTTCATATAGTCCAGCTTCTCGGATTATTTGCTCAGCATATAGATTGAATAAGTATTGTGAAAAGATATGATCCTAACACATACCTGCATTTAAGACCACAAAATTTTCTCTAAGTACATGTTTAGCTTTTCTCAAAATCACTGAGTTCTACATATTTACAATGTTCATTCTTATTTTATCTCTGACACAAGTATTATGTGCTGTACCAGGGAAGGGCATGGATCAGAAACCAGACACCCAGGTCGGAATTCAGACTCTGCCATGGACTAGCCATGTCCTTGGTCTCATGTCCTCATCCTTAAAATGAGCTGTGCCTATTTGGGCCTCCCAGAGGCATATATCAAAAGGCAGAATTAGAGGTGCAAAAGATTTATAGGTAGAAAGGCCTGTGAAAGATAAAGTGGAGAGGAGGCAGAAGGAGGGGAGAGAGCTTGGACCATAATGTGGACCAGACACTTGAGTGATGAGGAAGAAGGAAGGAAACCTGGGTAGGAAGAGACTCAGACTGCAGGGCAGTTCTGAGAAAGGCTCAGGTGGGTGTGGAAAACCCCAGAGTACAGATGAGCTGTTAGAGGAGGCCCATGTCAGGCCCACTGTGCTCAGTCATTGCTGGGAGGGTGTGGTAGCGGGAGGATAGCAGCCAACTGGGCTTCTCACTGTAGGTTCTCTCGAGGGAGATGAGCAGCAGAACTTCCCCCAAGCAAGTGGGCATAATAATAGAACCTATTAAATTATTTTATTCAATCAGTATGTAGTGAGCATCCTCTGTGGACCAGGTTGTTATGAAGATTCATGGGCTCATACGTGTAAGTACCTGCTGCTGTGGCTAAAAGTGTCCTCAGCTTTGAATCGGGCTTCCTTTCGTGATGCTGTTCAAGGTGTGTCAAATAACTTGAATCCACGGAAATCAATTTCTGTGAAACCAGGCTCCAGGTTTAAACAGGGCCTTTATCACATTTCCCACAAAACCCCACCACACAAAGCATACAGGAGCAGAGCCACCCCGACTGCTCTGGAGAGATGTAGAGGGCCGTCCATCTCTGGAGCCAGCATTTTACTCCCAAATGCCTATGGCATCTTCCTCCTCATCCACTAGCCATCTGGTCTTTCTCTTTCAAACCTCTTTACTGGGCCTGGAGGCCTCTCCCACCCATCCCATCCAGTCCCAGACCCCTCCAAGAGCACCGGCTCCAAGCCCTTGTGAACTCTCGATTGTCCACCCGCTTTCCCATCTCTCTGTCTTGTCTAAGGCAGAGCCATTTAGCCCTGCCAGGTTCCTCCAACCACATTGCAATATAGTGCTCCATTTTAGGAAACCGAGGCTTTATGGTGAGACCCCTGCTAAGAGAAGCCTTGTCAGAAGGCTCATCGGGAACAAAGAATAATTCTTTTTCCTACACACATGGGATCCTGCTTTTATTGCACATGGAGAAGCTCGGAGTGAAGGGGCAGGAGGGGGAAGAGCTGCCCCCAGAGGTCAAAACAGAAGGCTGGGGGTATGCAGGGGGGCATAACCACTGCACTGGGGATGTGGGCTTTCCTCCCTCTTTCTTACCCCCGTTGATACCAGCTCTTCCCCAGGGCCTTTCCTTGGCTTCGGGATCCTGATCTGAGGTCTCCACCCTGACTGTGATCCACAGCCAGTGACGTAGATCTGACACAGGTCTGGACAGGGAGCTCACCAGCTGATGCATCAAAGTAGACTCACCTGTGTCTCCACCTGTCTGCTCTCATGGAAGTAGGAAACCTCCAGATCCCTACTGCTCCCCAAGTAAGACCATCAAAAGTCCACCTTTTAGTTTCAGTTTCCTGGCTCAATGCAGTCACTTTGGCACCTGAAACTGACTGTTCTGGAGAGCTCTGGGGAGTGGCTGTCATTCTGGGCAAGGGCCGGGCAGGACACCAGGGTGACTGTGGCAGAGGGAGACCTGGGCTATGAGCGTTCGTAAAGCAGAAAGAACCCAAATTCTTCACATGACCCT